CATTGCTTTTCATTGGTTATGATCAGGCTGCAATCCCACTGCTGAGTCAGTGATGGTGAGAGAGTAAGATACATTGATTGTATTAGCCTACATGACAGCTGATACACCTGGAGCCTGAGCTGGATGGTGCCAGCTTCACATTGGCCAAGAGTGGCGGAAGAATAAGTGTAGCAGCCTAAGGGGTACCAGGACCCTTAGAAGGGGGTGTGTATGCTGACAGGCCAAGAATCTATCAGATTTTCCCACAAAATAGTGGTAGAAGATGTCTTAAGATTTCTATTGCTGTGAAGAGACATTATGACCATGACAACTCTTATAAAGAAAACATTTAATTGGGGTGGCTCATTTGCAGTTTCAGAGGTTTAGTCCATTATCATCATGATGGGGAGCATGGCGCCGTGCAGGAGAAGGAGCTGAGAGTCCTACATATTGCAGGCAACAGGAAGTGAACTGAGACACTGGGCAGTATCGTGAGCATAGGAAACTTGAAGCCCGCCCCCACAGTGACACACTTCCTCCAACAAATCCACACTTCCTAATAGAGATTATGGGGGCCAGTTACATTCAAACTACCACAGGGGCCATTCCTGCCTCAGAAGATAAGAGTTGAGGCTGCTGGCTAATCTCTATGTACAGATCAGGACACTGAAAAGGAAACCGTGTCACTTGAACCTAGAACACAGTCTTCAGATCCGTTGACTGGACACCAACAAAGCCAGTTTTGAGTCTGTGTTCTGTCATAGCCAGGTCATTTCCTATCTTTGATTTCTTTATCAGAAAAATAGAAACAAAATTAGGACTTACAAGGGATTTATTTGTTTATTTGAGATAGGCTGTTGTGTTATGGGCTAACCTGGAACTAGCTATATTGCTGACAGTGGCCTTGAACTCCTGATCCTCCTGCCTCTACCTCACTAGTGCTGGGATTATAGGCATCTGCCACCACATTTGGTTTATGGAGGGCTGGGGATGGAACCCGGGCCTTTATAGGTGCTAGGCAGACACTGCTAACTGAACCACATTCCCAGCCTTTTTGTTTGTTTGTTGAGACAGCCGTAATGCTAGGCCAAACTGGCTTTGAACTCTCTATGTGGTCAAAGATGATCGTGGGGATGGTGAGATGGCCCAGTATGAATGCACTTGCCACTGAGCCTAGTGATCAGAGTTCAGTTTCCAGAACCGATATGGTCAAAGAAAAGAATATTGACTTCTGCGTCTGCTCCATGGCACCCACATGCTCACATACATACATACATACATATATACATTACATACATACATGCATGCATGCATACATACACACATACATAAATATATACATACACATACAGTATAAATAAATAAGTGCAAAAAAAAGATGATTAACTCTTGATGCTCTGGTCTCTGCCTCTCAAATGCCAAAATTACACTTGTTTTTATTTATTTATTTTTGTTTGTTTTTGAGACAAGGTTTTTCTGTGTGGTTCTGGCTGTCCTGGAACTTGCTCTGTAGACCAGGCTGGCCTTGAACTCAGAGATCTGCTTACCTCTGTCTCCAGAGTGCTGGGATTAAAGTTGTACAACACCATCACCCAGCTGGTTTTTATTTTACATTTTTTGGAAGATAATATTTTTATTTATTTGTATGTATATGAGTACCTATGGAGGCCAAAAGAGGGTATTGAATCCCCTGGAACTGTAGTTAAAAGTGGTTATGATGGGCGGTGGTGGCGCACGCCTTTAATCCCAGCACTCGGGAGGCAGAGCCAGGTGGATCTCTGTGAGTTCGAGGCCAGCCTGGGCTACCAAGTGAGTTCCAGGAAAGGCGTAAAGCTACACAGAGAAACCCTGTCTCGAAAAACCAAAAAAAAAAAAAAGAAGTGGTTATGAGCTGCCCCAAAGCAGCAAGTTCTCTTAATGACCGAGCCCTCTCCATCCCCCATTTGTTTATTTATAGACAGGGTCCCATCGTGAATACAAGGATCACAGGTTATGTACCAACATACCTGTTCTTCTCCTCCTCTCAAGGTTTTTATAGAAAGTTGTAGAAAGAATCCATGTAAAACACGCGTACTGTGCCCACATGCAGCTAGCTAGCATTACTTTTTTTTTTTTAAGATTTGTTTATTATGTATAGTGTTCTGCCTGCATATATGCCTCCACGTCAGAAGAGGGCACCAGATCTCATGACAGATGGTTGTGAGCCACCATGTGGTTCCTGGGAATTGAACTTTGGACCTCTGGAGTAGTCAGTGCTCTTAACTTCTGAGCCATCTCTCCAGCCCTTTTTGTTCTTTTTTTTTTTTTAAGTTTTGTTTTTCAAGACAGGGTTTCTCTGTGTAACAGTCCTACCTATTCTGGAACTCACTCTGTAGACCAGGCTGGCCTGGAACTCACTGAGATCCGCCTGCCTCTGCCTCCGCCTCCCGAGTGCTGGGATTAAAGGCATGCCGCCCGGCTCTTTTTTATCTTTTAACCCAGTTATATGTTAGATTCTAAACAGTCTACATCATTGTTATGCTCAGATTGCGGGGACCCCAAAAGACCACCATGTGTAAAGGCAAAGAGCCTTTATTCATGCTCCGGTTTGGACCCTCTGTGTGTCCGATGTGGTAAGATTAGAGAGTGCTGAGCCCGGGCAGGGGGGGGGGGGGGGGGTGAGGGTGCTGCAAGCTGCAGAACTATACCAAGTAGGATTTCAGCTGATTATGACAAAGCTAATACCTGGAAGAAGCCAAGGGCCTTCCAGAGGTCAGGCTGAGGCTCAAGGAGCCTTGGTGATATTTGGCTTTTGATTATCAGCTGTTTCCTGCTGTGAGTTTCTTGTGTGCTATTGTAGCTTTTCCATCATTTATTGGGCACCATTCCCCCTCTACTAAAAGAATATTTAGATAACCTGCGAGACAGCTACGCACAGCCAGAACCCCTGTAATTATCGTCATTGGCAGCATCCGGCCAGGTCCATCCCCAGAGGGAGGAAAGTACCTTATCAGAGATACCTCTGTACTCTCTAAGAACAGACTTAAGTGTCCAGACTACCTGTTTGAGAAGGCCTGGCGGATGTGCCAATTAAGCTTAACTTCCTCCTTTCCCAAGCCTTACCTCTGGTTCCAGATCTCCCTTTAACTATCACCAGAGGCATCTAGCTGTACACAGGTTGCCTAGCGATCGAGCACATCTTCCCCCACCCTGCAGAAAAACGGCAGATAGCTTGGACAGAGGAGCCACAGGAAAAAAGAAGACAGTTTTATTTTCTCCCATGACCTAGCAACTTATAGATTCTTAACATTTTCTACCAATCACGTTTAAGATTATAGTGGAGCATGTAAGATCCCTCTTCTTAGATATTACCCGAATTTAGCCTTTAGTTAATTCATTTCCCCATTGGTCACTTCCCTTTTGGGTTGCAAATGATAATTAACAATTACTGCCACTCTATGTGATTCTTTTTTTAAATTTTTTATTTATTTATTTATTTATTTATTTATTTATTTATTTATTTATTTATTTTTTCCTCTGTGTGATTCTTATCACCCCTCCCTTTGACCCTGGAAACCTAGTCACTGCCTGAGGAAAATTCTTACCTGCCTTTATGACCCTGTAGAATTCAAGCCTGGTGACCTTGCTTGATCAGGAGCTTGCTATTGCTTGGGTTTATAACTGGATTCCTGGGAGACTTAAGAGGAACGTGGAAAACGGAGAGAACAGAGAGGGATAAGGAGAGTACGTGTGGACGAGATGGAAGATGAGGAAGAATCAGATGGGGAAGTACTAGCTGGGTAAGAACAAGATGAAAAGGACCTAGATGAGGCAGAATTAAGACAAGAGAATTAAGATGGAACTTAGAGGGAGTAGTAGATAAGTATAGAGAGAAATCAGGCAAGAAAGGAGCTAGGCACGAGAACAGAACTGAAGCTGTGTAAATAGGATGTTATGCCAGAGGAATTAAAGCAAGTGGACTATAGAGCTCGGTGTGCTGAGATTGTATTTCCTGAAAATAGTCCTCACCGTTAGTAGTTCTCTCTCCTGAGCCTCTGGGATGTATAATATTAAAGCTGGTCCCGCTAATATTATACAAGATGAGGGGATTTCCAGGGTTCAGGACCCTAATCGTCTAGGGTCATCTTGGTAAAAGGGAAATGGGTGTGTGCTTGGGCTAAAGGACACCTGTGATATCTTATAATGGTTGGAACAGAACGTTTGGAATGTCAGGTATTTCCCCTTAGATGCTGGCTCTCCCTGGGTGGGGTTAGCTTATGGCTTTTCCTGGGAACCGAATGGTTCCTGCCAGTAAGCCTGTCATGGCAGCTGTGTGGTTGGGCTGTTTTGGGCTCCCCACAATCATGAAAACCATTGAACCAGTGGTTTGGTTTAAAAAGAATTTTTTTAAAGATTCGTTTATTTTATGTGTTTTATCTGCATGTATATATGTGTACCACATGAATGCTTGGTACCCGTGGAGGTTGGTTGAGTTTTTTTTGGAAACCCTGGAACTGGAGTTAAGGATGGTAGTGAACCACCATGTGGGTACTGAGAACTGAGCCCAGTTCATCTGCAGGAGCAACAAGTGCTCTTAATTCTTATCTCTCCAGCCCTGAGCCAGTGTTTTTAAATAGAATATGTGATATATATGAACATGCTGGCCTTGCGCACAGGCAGCGTGGGTGCGGGCGCTACATAAACTGGGGGTGGTGACCACTCCTGTAATCCCAAGAGTTCAAGACCATCCTTGGCTACTTAGAAAATGCAAGGCCAGGCTACAGAAAATCAAAACAAAATGAGAACAGCTTATGGTAAGTGATAAGTTTTCTCCACCCTGGAGGCCACTCCGCCGAGGCAGCAATCCAGATCAGACCAAATTAGGAAAAGGCCCGGTTTAATGGGTAAAGCCTTCTGGGTGATTTTGGTGGGCTTTGAAGGGGCGGGTTTGGGGGAAGACATGGGGGATGGGTGTTGGTGGATCTTCCACCAGAACAGTAAGGTTGGGATTCGTGAATTAACTTAAATAAAAATCTTGGCAGAGCTCCAGGCCCCTCCAGAGCAGCAGCGGCTGGTGGAGAAATGGAGGCACAGGCCTATGGTGCCAAGCTCTTGGGGGAGTTGAATGAGCAGCGGAAAAGGGACTTTTTCTGTGATTGCAGCATCATCGTGGAAGGGCGCATCTTCAAGGCCCACCGGAACATTCTGTTCGCTAACAGTGGCTACTTCCGTGCCCTGCTCATTCACTACATTCAGGACAGTGGGCGGCACAGCACAGCCTCTTTGGACATCGTCACCTCCGACGCCTTCTCCACCATCTTAGATTTCCTCTACTCTGGGAAGCTGGACTTGTGTGGTGAGAATGTGATTGAAGTTATGTCAGCTGCCAGCTACCTGCAGATGAATGACGTGGTCAACTTCTGCAAGGCCTACATCAGGTCATCCCTTGACATTTGCCGCAAGATGGAGAAGGAGGCTGCTGTGGCTGCAGCCGTGGCAGCAGCCGCGGCTGCAGCTGCGGCCGCTGCAGCTCGCCAGATAGACATCGGGAGTCCAAGTTCAGGATTGGAGGGGACTTCCTGTTGTACCAAGAGCTTTGTCTCCTCCCCAGGAGAGGGAGAAGGGAGCGTGGAGCGTACACGAGTATCCCCTTGCGAGGACTGCCATCCCTTGGAACTGGTGGTGAAAGACAGCCAGGGCTCTGGCTCCTCTGACAGTGACCTTTCTGTTGTGCCCAGACGGGTTGAACCCAAGCTGGAATTTGATATTGCCAGGGCGGAGGGGGAGGCTGACGAACGGCTGCGGCAGTATGTGACGCCCCTGGCCCATGCGGAGGAAGGCCTGTCCAGTAACCAGGCCTTGGACTTGACGTATAGCAGCTACCACGTGAAGCAGTTTCTGGAGGCTCTCCTGCACAGTGGTGCTGTCCAGAGCAAAGATGACTCAGATCATCACCTTTCTCATAGTTTGGAGGGGAGACTGGAAGGGGCAGGAGTGGCCATGAGTTCGGTGATGGACGTTCAGAATGACTGGTATAGAGAGGACTCGGGTGAGTTTTGATCACAGGCATTCTTCTCTCTACCAACATTTATCTGTGCCTTGTGTCCCGTCCCCCCCCCCCCCCCCCGTGTCCCGTCTCCCGTGTGTGTGTGTGTGTGTGTGTGTGTGTGTGTGTGTGTGTGTGTCCCCGTCGTCATGATTGTCACCTCTGTCATGCTGCCACTGCGACCACCTACAGTCATTACTGCCACCACTATCAATAGATATTGATTGAGTACTTGTTATATATAGACTATTGTTTCTTTGTGTACTGTATGTGTGTGTGTGTGTGTGTGTGTGTGCGCGAGCACACGCGTGCGCGCGCGAGAGTGCATGTCGAGACCAGAGGACAATATCAGATGTTGCACCTCAAGAGATGTCCACCTTGTTTTTGTTTTGTTTTTGAGACAGGATTTCTCTCTCTACAGCCCTGACTGTCCTGTAACTCACTCTTAAACCAGGCTGGCCTTGAACTCATAGAGATCTGCCTGCCTCTGCCTCCTGAGTGCTGGGATTAAAGGCCTGCACCATCACTGCCCAGCATAAAAAATAAACAACGGAAGAAAAAAAAAGTTTATGGGCTGGAGAGATGTCTCAGCCATTAAAGCCTAATGCTCAAGACCAAAAAACCAAGCTGGGTATGTGGGGATGACACTTAGTGATAGAATGTTTGTGTACCACACGCAAGGCCCTGGCTTCAGTCTCTAGCACAGAGAAGGAAAAGGGAGTGGGGGGGGGAGCCCACTTAACTGACTTGACCTTTGACCTTTGGGGAACCAGCCAGAGTTGCCGCTGGCTAGCAGGTAGCGTTGGTGGCCTCCCTCTCTGTCTGGGATGATGGGGTTTCCCAGTCTCCCCCCCCCCCCAAAGGTGCCAGTGGTTGTTGCTGTTTACGGTCCGTTGGATTCCTCAGGTGACGTGCTGGTGGTCCCCATCAAGCTCCACAAGTGTCCTTTCTGCCCTTACACTGCCAAGCAGAAGGGCATCCTCAAGCGGCACATCCGATCGCACACAGGCGAGCGGCCTTACCCCTGCGAGACCTGTGGCAAGAGGTTCACCCGGCAGGAGCACCTCCGGAGCCACGCCCTGAGCGTAAGTGTCGGTGATGCGGCTGCCCGGCTGTGTCCACTTCCTGATCGGAGGGTCAGCCTGCCTTTCACTTCTCTGTCGTGTCCCCCCCCCCCCGCCCCAGGTTTTTAGAGAATTTGGTGACTTTTTTTTTTTTTTTTTTAACCGGATGCTTAGAAAGTTAACACTGGCGTGGGAACAGAGAAATTCTCCAAGAAGCTTAGTTTTTGCTCAAGGATGGCTGTCATGAGGCCAGACCTGCCGGGGCCGGCAGACTGGGGGCCTTTCCCCCTGATGTGGATGTAGGGTAAGCTGTATCCCCAATTTTCCACCAGACTCAGCACACAGGGGTGGGAGAGCAACGCATTTCCATTTGCTCAGCAAGAACTCCTAACTGCCGAGTCGTCTCTCCGGCTCCTCGACCCCTTTTCTGTGACATTTACCGTGTCCACTTGTGATGACAGGTCCACAGATCCAACCGTCCAATCATCTGCAAGGGCTGTCGAAGAACCTTCACCAGCCACCTGTCCCAGGGGCTGCGGCGCTTCGGGCTGTGTGACAGCTGTACGTGTGTTACCGACGCGCACGATGAGGATGACGACTTGGTGCCCGTGCACCTCAGCCTGGTGGAGGCTGCATCCGAAAGCCACGAGAAGAGCGACGTGGACGACTGGCCCATCTACGTGGAGTCTGGTGAGGAGAATGACCCGGCTGCGGAGGAGGCCGACGACGACAAGCCACACATTCGGTCCAGCTTACCAGACCGAGCGACACTTACGTAGCAGTCAATTGATGGGAGAGAGGTTTTAGAGGTTGTATTGCTTGTACTACAGCGTTTGTCTAATTTTGTGGAACTTAGGGGCTGTTCCCCTTCTTAATGTTGCAATGTTGTTATACTTTTTTTTTTGGGGTGGGCAGGGCTTTGGTTTTTCAAGACAGGGTTTTTCTGTGTAACAGTCCTGGCTATCCTGGTACTCACTTTGTAGATCAGGCCGGCCTCGAACTCACAGAGATCCGCCTGCCTCTGCCTCCCGAGTGCTGGGATTAAAGGCGTGCGCCACCACTGCCCAGCTTGCACTTGTATTTTTGTTGGACTACGTGCCAGAGTCTGGATGTTGTGACTCAAAAGACTGATAATTTTTTAGCATGGATTCTGAGGGCTTTGTTGGCCTCATCTTGGTGCTGAGTGGATCAAGGTTGACCCCGAGGCTTCCTAATTTCCCTGTTGAGAAGCAGACTCTGGGTAGGAGGAAAATAAGAAAAAATCTCCCTGATGAGCACTCTTTCAATCTTTTACATTCTTTTATCGTTACCTTTTTCTGAAGAGGTGGCAAAATTCGCTGTCAGAACATCAGTCTGCCAAGCTTTTCATAACAAATTCCACAGTTTAATTTTCTGACTTGCTTTGATCAAAAGCAGGCAGGGCCGACTACATGATCAGAAAAGGTACTCCCTAAATCTGAGACTGTACTTCTAAAGGTAGCTATGTGCAGACAAACACTTAAATGAGTTACAAGTTCATTAGGGCCCCGTCCTGGTCCAGCTGGATGAAATTACATGAGACCCCAAAAGAGAGCCTTGTGAGCCAGGTCCAGGAAGTGTCCCTCTGTCCGGTAAGCTATTTGACGATTATGTACACACCAATACCCCATTCTGAGATCATAAAACAAGTTGTTTGGGCAAAACTCAAAGTGCTCCCCTGCTTTCTTCGGTCATTTCCAAGAGACAACTCAGTGCAACCTGAAAATGTATGTCCTGCTGACATTCCTCCACCTTGGGGGGCGGGGAAGGAGCGCAGGCCTGTCTAATGTATTTCTAGGTCTTTTAACTATTAGAAGACCTTCTAGAAGGAAGGAGCTGGCTAGCACAGGTTGTAAGGCCAGTCTGCTTTTCACCCGTGCTGCGGCCTTCTTTCTGCCTCTTACACAATAACTAATCAGAAGAATTTACAAATGGACTTGTAAGTATTGTCTGGTCGTTGAAGGGTTAAAGTGTTTGTCTATTTTTGAGACAGGATCTCTCTATGTAGCCTTGGCTGCCCTGAACTCACTATGTAGACCAGGCTGGCCTCGAACTCACAACGATCTGTCTAGTTTTCCTCCTGAGTGCTGGGACTAAAGGTATGCGTCACCACCCATGGCAGGACTGGAGGTACCCCTGGGTCCAATCCCTGGGATTGCAATAAATAGATACCTAATTGTGTGTTGTCTACAAGAAAAAAAAGCCATTAAAAAGTAAGCAAATCTTTTGGTTTCATTTTGGTTTTCTCAGTGGTCGGTGTTGTATCTAGGACCTTGTTCATGTTAGACAAGTGTTCTCTCATCAAGTGACTACATCCCCTGCCCCTGGAAAGGTATTTAAATTGTACTTAGTAGGAGAGTCTTAGGACAGCTCTCTGAAACAGTGATGACATTTTGATGTTGCTGGGATGCCCACACCCAGTTAGTGGTTTCATCTTCTTGAACAAGGCATGGACCAGCCCAGGTGTGGCTGCCTCGGGAGCCACATCATATAAAGACTGATACCAGACAGGCCTGGTGGCGCATGCTAATAAAGTGAATCCCAGCACTCTAGAGGCAGAGGCAGGCAGATCTCTATAAGTTCAAGGCCAGCCTGGTCTACACAGTGCTAGACCAGTCAGTGATACATAGTCAGACTCTGTCTCAAAAATAGATAAATTAAATGCATACAGTTTTGAAATTGTATTAAAGGTATTGAAAGTTTTTAAGCCAGGCTTCTACCACGTGTCATCTGAAGAATGACTAAATGGAGCTGGGGATGTGACTCAGTGGTGGAGGTGGATTCAGTACTCAGCATTGTAAAACGAATTAACTGACTAAATCAAGAGTTATACATCGAATATTATCAGGGTCCAGAAATACTTTTCTTGCCTGAAACAAAAATATTATTTCCAGTAGGACCTGTTGGCCCACATCTGTGAACCTAGTCCTGAGGAGGCAGAAGCTGGAGGATTGAGGCCAGCCCAGTCGACAAACAAGTTGTAGGCCAGCCAGAGCTGTCTTTAATAAACTGAGAGAGATCTTCACAGAAAGGAAATTCAAATGGATGTATACATTTATCTCACGGGAATTATATTTGATATTTTTACTCTGTATTTAATCTATTTCTGTTTTAATATGACCTTTCTACCTCACAATTCAACCTCTTTGCCTGCTCCCTACCTCCTTGGGTAGGGCCATGACTGATTTTTTTTTTTAAGATTTGTTTATTTATTATGTATGCAGTATTCTGCCTGCATGTATACCTGCAGGCCAGCAGAGGACACCAGATCTCATTACAGATGGTTGTGAGCCACTGTGAGGATGCTGGGAATTGAACTCAGGACCTCTAGAAGAGCAGCCAGTGCTCGTAACCTCTGAGCCATCCCTCCAGCTCCATGACTGATCTTTTTCAGCTATCTTGTCACCTCTTCAGGTCTCTGGGTAAGAAAAAAATCGCTTTAGAGATTTCACTGTACGACAGTGCTTCTCAGCTGGATATAATTTTGTCTTACATACAAATTTGACATTGTCTAGGTTACATTTGATTGTCAGAAGCGGGGAAGGGGAACTTCTGCATCCAGTAGGTCTAGGCCAGGGATGCTGCTGAACCATCTTACATAGGTTACATGCCTTTAATCCCAGCATCCAGGGAAGTAGAGACAGGCAGATTTCGGTCAGTTCCAGGCAGCCTAATTTAAATAGCTACCTCTAGGCAAGCTAAGGATACAGAATGAGACTGTCTCAAAATAATATAAACATTTTTAAAAAATCAATAGTTCCAAGGCTGAGAAATTCTAGATATATGATAAAGTAGGTTTTTTTAAAATGATCTTTCATTTTTAAATTTTGTGTTCTGTACTGGAGGTGGGTGGCGCACACCTTTGATCCTGGCCCTCAGGAGGCAGAGGCAGGCGGATCTCTGTGAGTTCAAGGCCAGTCTGGTCTACAAAGAGAGTTCCAGAACAGCAAGGGCTGTTACACAGAGAAACAGAGAAACTCTGTCTCAAAAAACAAAACAAAACAAACAAATTTTGAGTTCTGTTTCTGAGAGCAGGTGTTTCACTGCTTGCCCAATGTCTGATGTAGATTTATGACAGAGAAACTTAGACATTCAGCCAGGTGTGATAGGAAACACCTGGAATCCCAGCACTAGGGAAGAGGAAGCCAGAGGGTCAGGAGTTCAAGGTCAACCTCAGCTACCAAACAAGTTCTAGGCCAGTGTGGAATACTTGAGAAGCTGTATCAGCCAGGCATGGTGGCACACACCCTTAATCCCAGCACTCCAGAGGCAGAAGCAAGGGGCGGCAGTCAACCTGGCCTACAAAACCATTTCCAGCCCCACACGGGCCTGTCTCCAAAAATTAAAAAATAAAATTGATGGGCTGGAAGATGGCTTAGTGGCTAAGAGCTTATTGCTCTTGCATAGGACCCAAGTTTAGTTCCCAGCACCCCGGCTGCCTGTAACTGTAGCCCCAGGAGCATCTGATGCCTGTGGTCTCTGGGGGCACCGGCATTCCTGTGCACATATTCGCACGCACATAGTCACACGTAAGTACATGTAGGAGCAAAATTGAGAAAGAAAGGAATAGACTCCGACTCTGGTTTACATGTCCAGAGTCGTTCATTCCTGTCCCTGACCTTTTCCCGATTTGGTGTTTTCGTTTTATTGTTTTAAGTCCGGGCCTCACTGTTTGCCTCACCTCAGCTGGGACTCACTGTGAATCAGGCTAGCCTCAAACTCAAAAAAGAGACCTGTCTGCCTCTGCCTCCTGGGTGCTGACACAAGCCACCGTACGTGGCCAATTTTGTTCAACGACTGCCTCACGGTGGCAGAACCTTGGGAGGAAAACCGACTGCTGAGCCCAGCGTGTGTATTGTATTAATATTCTGGGATATCTCAGATTGTTCATTCCTCGTTGACTGGAGTTCGTGTAATGTACATTACAATAACCAGGTCGCTGTATTCTGTCATTTTTAAAGAGAGATACATCCTTGGTGTGTACTGTCATGAACTGGTCCCCTTTTAAACATGCTTTCACATTGGGTGGCCAGTATTTATCATCCCAATATCTTGAGGGTTTAACTCATGGTGTTAATGATTTAAAAAAGTGTTAGGGGTGGGTGTTGGGGATTGGACCCAGGGCCTCTCACATGCTAAGCAAGCACACCACTGACCCACACCTGCAGCCCATGGTCACCTTTTTTTTTTTTTTTTTTGCTTTTCAAGGCAGAGTTTTACCGCGTAGTTCTGACTGTCCATGACGACAGTTTTATAGGTAAATTTACAGTGGGCCGAACACTGACCACTAGTGACTGAGTTTATATTATCGCATCCCTCTGGCACATTCAGTCCACAATCACAAAAAGATAATTTGTCTCACAGTAGATATAGCGCACAGATGGGGCTAAGATACAGACTGCACACAAAATGCATGTTTAGGAACCTAGTTCTCTGAGGGTTGGGAAGGAATGTAAATAAGACCTATAATTTTTCCTCTGTCTCGGAAAAAAAAAAAATGTAGTTTTCTCATTCCAGCTGTAGGGGTTATTTTACCATACATAATGTTGCCTAACAACGAAGTAAATGAGTGACTCTTAATTTTATTTATTTATATTTATGTATGAGTGCTCTGCATATATACCTGCATCAGATCCTATTATAGATGGTCATGAGCCATCTTGTGGTTGCTGGGAATTGAACTTAGGACCTCTGGAAGAGCAGCCAATGTTCTTAACCACTGAGCCATCTCTTCAACACTCCCCCCCCCTTTTGAAATTTTTGTGTTTTTTGAGACAGGGTTTCTCTGTGTAGTCTTTGGAGCCTGTCCTGGATCTTGCTCTGTAGACCGGGCTGACCTCGAACTCACAGAGATCTGCCTGCCTCTGCCTCCTGAGTGCTGGGATTAAAGATGTGTGCCACCACCACCCGGCTCCCCTTTTGAAATTTTATTTATTTATATTTTAAGATGTATGACTCTTATCGGGTTGTCGGGAACAGAATGAGAAATGGTAACTAAAGGTCAAAATCTCATACGGAAAGCAAATGAATCGTGGAGCTCGCTCTGCAGACCGGGTTGACCTCGAACTCACAGAGATCTGCCTGCCTCTGCCTCCTGAGTGCTGGCATTAAAGGCGAGCAACATGCCGGCGGTGGTGGCGCATGCGTTGGGAATCTCTGCGAGTTCGAGGCCAGCCTGGTCTATAGAGTGAGATCCAGGACAGCAACAAAGCTACACAGAGAAACCCTGTCTCTAAACACACACACACACACACACACACACACACACACACACACACAAAAAAGGTGTGCAACATCAGCCCCAGCCTCATTTTCAGTTTTTGGGTTTTTTTTTGTGTGTGTGGGAGGTTTTTTGTAGGATGTTTCTTGTTTTGTTTTATTTTGTCTTTTATTTGTTTTTGTTTTTATTTTTAAAGATTTATTTATTATGTATATAGTGTATATACCTGCATGTTGCCTGCAGGCCAGAAGAGGGCACCAGATCTCAGAAGTAGTTGTGAACCACCATGTGGTTGCTGGGAATTGAACTCAGGACCTCTGGAAGAGCAGCCAGTGCTCTTGACATCTGAGCCATCTCACCAGCCCCTCTTTGTTTGTTTTTAAAGAGAGAGGTAAGAAAGAACATAAAGTTGGGTGGTAGGGAGGTGGGGAGAATCCTTGAAGAATTGGAGGAGGAAACATGATCAAAATATTTACATGAAAAATATTCTTTTAAAAAAAAAATGTGAGACTAGAGCCATGGCTCAGTGGTTAAGAACGTTAACTGCTCTTACAGAGGACCTGAGTTTGATTCCTAGCACTCACTTGATGGCTTGGAACCATCAGTAATTCCAGTACCAGGGAATCCGATGCCCTCTTCTGACTTCTGTGGGCACCAGGCACGCACATGGTACACAGATACCCACGTAAGCAAAACACTTATATACGTAAAATAAAAAATAAAAGCGGGGTTGGGGATTTAGCTCAGTGGTAGAGCACGTGCCTAGCAAGTGCAAGGCCCTCGGTTCGGTCCTCAGCTCCAGAGGGGAAAAAAAAATAATAGAAAAAATAAAAGCACTTGCTGCTCTTCCAAAGGTCCTGAGTTCAATTTCCACCACCCACATGGCAGTTCACAACTGTCTGATGCCCTCTTCTGATGTACAGATGTACATATAGACAAAGCTCCCATATATAATAATATAGAAACGTGTTATAATAAGTAAATCTTTTTTTAATGTATCAGGCTAGAGAGATGGCTTACTGGCTAAGGGAGAAGAGCACCGACTGCACATTCAGAGGACCGAGGCTCAGTCTCAGTTCCCTTGTGGTGGCTCACAACCATCTGTAACTCCACTCCCAGGGGATCTGTTACTCTCTTCTGTTAACAGTTGAAGCATGAAAGTGGTCCACGGACATGCATGCAGGCAAAACACCCATACATATAAAATAAAATAATTATTTTTAAAAGTCCAACTTCATCTTCTGCTACATAGCAAGTTTGAGCCTACCTGGGATACTAAGAACCTGTCTTTAAAAAAAAATCAGGCCGGGCGGTGGTGGCGTACGCCTTTAATCCCAGCACTCAGAAGGCAGAGGCAGGTGGATCTCTCTGAGTTCGAGGACAGCCTGGTCTCCAAAGCAATTCCAGGAAAGGCACAAAGCTACACAGAGAAACCCTGTCTCGAAAAAAAAAATCATAAATTTTTTTTAAAAGATTTTATTTATGTATTATGTATACAGTGTTCTGCATGCATATATGCCTGCCGGCCAGAAGAGGGCACCAGATCTCATTATAGATGGTTTTGCTGGGAATTGAACTCAGGACCTCTGGAAGATCAGTCAGTACTCTTAACCTCTGAGCCATCTCTCCAGCCCCAAAATCATAAATTTTTTCGTGGTGCTCATAGTCATATGTATGCTGTACAGGTATATATGTCTTACTATAGGGACATGATTGGCAACTTCTGCAGGTTCCACCAATCAGAGTTTGATGGGAACCTGCATTCACCCAGGACCCAGCAAACACTGTGCTCCATGATTGCTGTGTCGTGAAGTGCATGAGTCCCCTTGGCTGCTTCGGCTGCACATCACTAAGTGACGATAACTGGTTATTTATTTAACAGTTGCCCAACAATTATTTATGATGTTCTTATAATGGACCAGACTCAGATTTTCTTCACTGAGCCAGCACAATCACTGCTTTTTTTTTTTTTTTTTTTGGTTTTTTGAGACAGGGTTTCTCTGTAGTTTTGCGCCTTTCCTGGAACTCACTTTGTAGACCAGGCTGGCCTCGAACTCACAGGGATCCTCCTGCCTCTGCCTTCCGAGTGCTGGGATTAAAGGCGTGCGCCACCACCGCCCGGCTACAATCACTGCTTTTAAGGTAAAGCAGTTATAACAGAGTGTTGTGGGTGACGGAAGGGGGCTCTGAGAACAGGCAGGTGGGAGCCCCCCCCAACCGGCGTTTACAGCCTCAGCAAAGGCTTTCCTGTCCAAGTTGCCTTTGCTGTGACCCCACAGCAGTGAACTTCTGATTATACGCAATTTAAATAATTTCTGAAACTCCGTGCCTTTGCCAAATGTTGTGACTCCAGACACCAGCAGTGTTTGAATTACCTGCTTTGTTCAGATCTGTAAACACAGTGTGCACAGTTACGAGCTAGAGATGTAGCTCTGTTGATAGTGTGGTCCTCAGGCTGGAGAGATGTCTCAGAGGTTAAGAACAGCAGCGGCTGTTCTTCCAGAGGACCTGAGTTAATTCCCAGCACCCACATGGTGGCTCACAACCATCTGTAGTGAGATCTGGTGCCCTCTTCTGGTCTGCAGGCAAAACACTGTATATATAATAAATAAATAAATCTTAAAAAAAAAAAAAAAAGGTAATGTGGTCCTCAGCACCACCTCTTCAGGCATTGTGGCATTTGGGAAGTGGAGGCAGGAAGATCAGGACTTCAAGGTTACTTTCAACTGCGTATAATTTGAGGCTAGCCTGTGTTAAAAAACAAAACCAAGAAAATACATTGCATAATATCCCAGTCTTTAGAAAGTATGTTTCAGATACTCAAGCATTCCTAACTTTTAAAATATCAGTGTCTACATAGGAAAGTTAAAGAGTAATATTGCTCATTGAAAAAAGGAAAAAAAATTACTATTTGTCAATTAAGACTAGATTTAAACCAACAGCAAATCACTATTGTTTGGTTGATTCAGTATGATAGAGGGAAAATATTACTGTGACAAATGGAGAGGGCCCTGTAGCTTCTGGACTGGCTTCTGGCTACCATGTGAGCTAGTCAACACCCCAGGAGGCAGGACCGCTCTAAGACAGGACTTCCAAAGGATTTGAAGGCTAGGAAGGACCTGAAGCAGGCTCCACTTTACAGAGACGTGGAATGAAGTTAGTTCCCCCATGGCTGGGTAAGATCAGAAACCAGTCCTGACAGGCTTACGCCGATAACAGACACTTCGGGACAGGCAGAAAATCCCATCCACAGATAGCATTTGCTTCCTTGCTTAACTATCAAATGCTGTTTAACCCTGTATGTTAAAGCATGCTTTGTGGGATGGCGCGCATTCTTGTCATGCTTAGACAGGGAGAGGGGAAGCCACAAGTTGAATGTAGTGGAAGTTAATTTAATTTCTTTGCCCTCTATTATTCTTGTATATCTGCAGCTTTGTTACCACACCACCATGCACACACACACACACACACACACACACACACACACACACGATAATGTAAATTGAAATTTCCAATTGTCTAGTTATCTAATATACATCATGAATTTTATCTTAACCTATTCATTCTATTTGCTAAAAACTTTCAAAAGTAAAAATATCCAACATATTCTTGAAATCATTTTTTCCAGGGCTGAGGATATAGGTCAGGTGGCAGTGTGCTTGCTTCAGGTGCATGGAGCTCTGTGTTCGATTCCCAGCTCCTCATAAACTGGGAGATGGAGGCAAGAAGATCAGAAGTTCAAGGTCATCCTCAATTATATAATATTGCATTACATAAGTTCGGAGCTCTTAACTGCTCTTCCAGAGTACCTGTGTTCGGTTCCCAGTACCCACACAGCAGCTCTCAACAATCTGACTCCAGTTCCAGGGGTTGTGAGTCCCTGACTCCGTCTTCGGGTCCCTTCAGGAACTGCAGGTACTACAGCCAGGTGGTGCATTTGTGTGTGTGTGTGGGGGGGGAACACTCAAAAATAAAAATAAACCTTAAAAAAGTCGTGTGTGATTTTTTCATCTACAGATACAGGCTGGAGAGACAGCTCAGCGGTTAAGAGCAGCTACTGTTCTTGCAGAGGGCTTAGTTTAAGTCACAGCAACCATGTTGGGTGGCTCACAACTGCCTGTAACTCCAGCTTCAGGTGGATCTGTTCTCTCTGGCCTCCAGAGACACCTAATATCTACACACACACACACACACACACACACACACACACACACACACACACACACTTTAAAATCCAGGGCCTGCAGCCGGGCAGTAGTAGCACATGCCTTCAATCCCAGCACTCGGAAGGCAGAGCCAGGCAGAGCTCTGTGAGTTCGAGGCCAGCCTGGTCTACAGAGCAAGATCCAGGACAGGCACCAAAGCTACACACAGAAAGCCTGTCTCGAAAAAACAAAAGGAAGGAAAGAAAAAAAAAAAAATCCAGGGGCTTTTTTCCAGGGTTCAGCAAATAAGAGCATTGGCTGCTCTTCTAGAAGACCTGACTGGGTTCCATTCCTAGCACCCACATGGCAGCTCTAAACCATTTGTAACTTCAGTACCAAGGAATTCAATGCCGTCTTCTGGCCTCTGTAGGTACCAGGCACACGTGCAGTACACAGACATACATGCAGGCAAAATGTGCATACATGTATAAATAAGTAAGTAAATTTTTAAAACATTTACAAACTGTGGTGGTTTGAAAGAAAATGGCCCCCAAAGGGAGTGGCACTATTAGGTATGATCTTGTTGAAGTAGGTGTGATCTTGTTGGAGGAAGTGCGTCACTGTGGAGGCAGGCTTTGAGGTCACATATATGCTCAAGCTATACCTATTGAGACAGTCTACTTCCTGTTGCCCGCATATCAACATGTAGCAGCTCCTTTCCAGCACCATGTCTGCCTATATACCGTCATGTCACATCATGATGATAAGGGACCAAACCTCTGAAAATGTAAGCCACGCCAATTAAATGTTTTCTCTATAAGAGTTGCCTTTGTCATGGTGTCTCTTCATAGCAATAGAAACCCTAACTAAGACAGAAGTTGGTACCAGGAGTGGGGTATTGCTGTGATAGGCCTGACCATGCTTTTATTTGGAGAATTTGGACTTTGGGAGTTTCACCTAGGAAAGCAGAATGCTTTAAGCACTGCTTAATGGGCCATACCAGTAGAAGTATGGAAGACGGTGGTGCTGATGGTGATTTGAACTGTGAGGGGCTGGCTCCAGAGGTTTCAGAGGAGAAGAATTTTAGGATGTTGCCTAGAAATCTGATATTTTAGTGAAGAATGTGGCAGCTTTTTGCCCTTGTCTAAAGAGTCTGCCTGAGGCTAAAGTGAAGACTTTGGGATTAATTCCTTCAAAACAGCCTAGGATAGACTCTGTTGTGTGGTTACTAGTGTGTTAACGTATCTAATGAAGATATGTAGTGACAAGGAGTGAGCTGAGCAAGGAAAAATATTTGAGGAGAAAAGGAGCACCAGAAAGTGGATGGAGCTAAGTCCTGTGTTCAAGAAGATAAACAGATTAAGAAATGGAATAAGCCGGGCGGTGGTGGCGCACGCCTTTAATCCCAGCACTCGGGAGGCAGAGCCAGGCGGATCTCTGTGAGTTCAAGGCCAGCCTGGGCTACCAAGTGAGTTCCAGGACAGGCGCAAAGCTACACAGAGAAACCCTGTCTCGAAAAACCAAAAAAAAAAAAAGAAATGGAATAAAGGGAGTGGTGACCTCAGGGCAAGATCCCACCCAGCTAAGTTTCCAACTTATCAAAAGAAATTAAAGAAAAACTTAGAGCCATGTGTGGTGGCACACACCTTTAACCCCAGCAGAGGCAGAGCAGATCTCTGAGTTTGAGGCCAGCCTGGTCTACAGACCGAGTTCCAGAACAGCCAAGCTTAGGCAATGAAAGAAATCATGGGGGGAAAGGGGAAAAAAAGAAAGCTGGTGAAGATGTAATTGAAAGATCTCTGAGTTTGAGACTAGCCTCCTCTACAGATGGAGTTTCAGGACACCCAAGCCTAGGCAGTGAAGGAAACTGTGGAAAATAGAAAGCTGGTGAAGCTGTAATTCAACGAGGGGGCCGTGTTCCAGCCCAGCAAGCACAGAACTTGGCAGCTTTGGGCACGTGGTTCTGGCTTTAAAATTAAGGATAGAAGAAACAGTTTATGGAATTTGCCTCCATGCCTAAGGAAAGCTGCTGAGGCCAGGCTCGTGTCAGGGTGTCCCTGAATGGAGACCTAGAGAGGCCATTGGATGAAGCTGTTAAGTTGAAGCCTGGGTTGCCTTGCAGACCCCAAGATGTTAGAGATGCTGAAGCCATGGGATACCTACAAAGGAGAGCTGCTAACAGGGAGTGGAACCAGCCCGAGAGAGAGAAGTGTGTTGCAGTCTACAAAGCTGAAAGGAGTTGGAGATCTGAAGAGCACTTTGACATCAGACATGGAGATGCAGAGTTTGGAGTTTGCCCAGCTGGTTTTTGGTCTTGCTTTGGTCCAGTATTTCCTCACTATGTTCCCTTCCCTATGTTTTGGAATGGTAATGTATATCTCGTACCAATATATGTTGGAAGTATGTGATCTGCTTTTTGATTTTGATTTTACAGGGGATTATAGTTAAGAGATTGCCATGCATTCAGAAGAGACTTTGAACTTTAGACTTTTAAATAAGTTTCAGATGGCTCAGCAGTTGAGAGCACTGCTTTTGCAGAGGACCCAGGTTTGATTCCCAGCACCCACATGATGGCTCACCACAAGCTATAACTCCAGTTCTAGGGGATCTGATGCCCTTTTCTGGCTATTACAGACACATACAGACAAAACACCCATATATATATATAAAATATTTTTTTAAAAAAGCTGGCGAATAGCCGGGCAGTGGTGGCGCACGCCTTTAATCCTAGCACTCGGGAGGCAGAGCCAGGCGGATCTCTGTGAGTTCGAGGCCAGCCTGGTCTCCAAAGCGAGTTCCAGGAAAGGCACAAAGCTACACAGAGAAACCC